TATATAATTAAAAAGGTTTTAAAAATAAAAAGAAATACATTTGGTCTATGGTGGCACACACCTTTAATTCCAGCACTTATGAGGCAGAGGCAGGTGGCTTCTGTGAGGCCAGACTGGTCTACATAGTGAGTTCCAGGCCAGCTGGGGCTACAAGGAGACCTTTCAAAAATAACGACAACAACAACAAAAAAAATACACACACAAAAAAACTCAACCAACTAAAAAACCAAGATGGCTGCCCATCATTTTATACATATATGTATTCTTTAAATTTGTGATATTTGTATACAACGTATCTTGTTATATATTTTTAATCTGTATATATACAGATAACAAAATTCTGATTTTTCAATCTGCATATCAGTTTTTACTGTTCATACACTGAGTTGAATTAATTAGGGCAATTTTTATAGAGAATGCAATATATCATACAAAAAATACTCATAACCTTTTTTTTGCAGGGGCGATCTTTTTGAGACAGGGTCTCCCTGTAGCCCCAGCTCACCTGGAACTCACTATGTAGACCAGGCTGGCTTTGAACTCACTGAGATCCCTATGCCTCTGCCTCCCAAGTGCTGGGACTACAGGTGTGCACCACCATGCCCAGCTAAAAGAATACCTATAATCTTAAGGAAAAAAAAAATGTTTACTTCACCAATAAGTGAATAGCAGCAAGAAATGAATCACTTTAAGTAACCAATAGCCATTAGAAACATGTTATCAAGATCTACAGAGTACAATCTCACAACATTCTCAATCTCGCAACATTCTTTTGTCTAAGTAACCTTTTAAATATATACCAGTTCCTTTATCTTTGTTGTTTCAGTCTTTGAGACAGGGTTTCATATATCCCATGCTGGCCTTGAACTCACTATGTAGCCAAAGATAACCTTAAACTCATGATCCTCCTTGCCTCCACCTCACTAGTATTAAGACTATAGGTGAACACCACCATACCTGCTTTATGTGGTACTAGGGATCAAACCCAAAGCTTCATACATTCTAGGAAAGCACTCTATCAGTTGAGTTACATCTCCAGCTCCATAGTTGGCATCCAAGGCAGTTCTACAACATATTTTGTAGCATATAGTTTATCACAGGCTAAAGGCTAAAGACTTTTTCACTAAAAGTTACATCTACATACCAACAAGGTGTATGAAAGTGAATATTCAGATTAAATAGCATGTCTGCTTATGTTACTGATGTTGCTACCATAAGGAGATATGACAGTAATTCACACAATGGCATGGTCATTGATCACACCTGGGTCTAACACATCACAAAGAACACATTTAAGTACTCAGCATTCCCAAGACTAAATACAAACAGAAAAATGTGAGTAAATACTGAGTCCACGCTAACTTCAAGACATCCTTAAACAATTTAAATACCAAAAGACTTCAGGGGCTGGGGAGATGGTACAGTTGTTAAAAGCATTGGGTACTCTTACAGGACTGAGGTTCAGTTCCCATTACCCACATGGCAGTTAATAACCATCCTTTGACTACAGTTCCAGGGGATCCATGCCTTCTTCTGCCCACCATGGGCACTGCATGTATCTGATGCACTTACATACAGGCAGGCAAAACACTCATACACATAAAAGGCAAATTAAAAAAAAAAAATTAAAAGGAACTCCAAAAATAAAGACACCCCCCCCGCAAAATTCAGTAATTTTATTTCTTCTTCCTTCCAAAGACTATATAGACAAGCTGGAGGTAGTATATCAATCAGAAATCTATTTACACTTTATTCTCTTAAATATTAATATAAGAATGGTGGTTTTAGAAGCTGGAGAGATGGCTCAGTAGTTAAAAGCACTAGCTGCTTTTGCAGAAGACCCGGGTTCGAATCCCAGCACCCACATGACGGCTAACAACTGTTTGTAACTCCAGTTCCAGGGGATACAACACCTTCTTCTGGCCTCCACCAGCACTGCATGACACAGATGCACTTACACACATGGAGGCATAATACTCATACATTTAAAAATAAAAATAAATTAATAAAAAGTTTTTTAAAGATTGGTTGTTTTGGAATGTGGCCTTAAGAGCCAGACATGGTGGCACAAGCACTGAGAAGACTGATGGCAGGAGGAGCATGAGCCTGAGGTCAGCCTGGGCTATAAATAAAGACTTTGTCTCACCCCCCTCATCACAAAAAATGCACCAAAACAACAACAATGAAGTTCTCTATTTAATGAAAAATCAAATAGGGATTTAGAACTTAAAATTTTAAAAGAAGGAAATAAGGAAAGAGAGAGAGAGGAAAGAAAAAAAATAAAATGAGGCTAGTGAAAAAGGCATTATAAATTTAGCTCAAAAAAATTTAGCAAGCAATAGTAAACACAAGATGAAATTTCTGATAGAACATACTTTAAAAGCCAGGTATGGTGGTACATGCCTTTAGTTCAGCACTCAAGAGGCAGAGGCAGGGCAGCCTGGTCTACAAAGTAAGTACTAAACCAGCCAGAGCTACACAGTAAGATCTTTTCTCATAAAAATCAAAAGGAAAAAAAAAAGATATTTCAGTAGATATATACAAATAAACACAGAAGATTTAAAAGAACTGAAAAAGCTGGGCATGGTGATGCACACCTTTAATCCCAGCACTTGGGAGGCAGAGACAGGAGGATCTCTGTGAGTTCAAGGCCAGCCTGGTCTACATAGTGAGTTCCAGGACAGCTGGGGCTACACAGAGACCCTGTCTCAAAAAGACCAAAAAATAAATAAATAAATAAATAAATAAATAAATAAATAAATAAATAAATAAATAAATAAAATAAAACTGAAAAAAAGTTTTTTCAGCAGACATTAATAGCAACTGAGTAGCAGAACTTACATTTATATATTTCATGCTACCTAAAGCTTTCCTGTAACTCCCTATCTTCATTGAAAACTTAACCTTAGCAAATTTTGTCACATATTATACTTTTTAAAACATTTTATTATTTTTATTATTTTATGTGTATGAGTGTATTGCCTGCATGTATGTGAGTGCACCCATGTCGTACAATGCTGTGGAGGTCAGAAGAGGGCTTCGGATTCCCCTGCAACTGGAGTTAAGGACAGTTCGTAGCCGCCATGTAGGTGCTGGGAATTGAACCCTGGGTCCTCTGCAAGAGCAGTCAGTGCTCTTAACCGCTGAGCCATCTCTCCAGTCCCCACATTATACTTTTCATACTTATTCTCATTAATGGCAAAAATTCCTTAACTAAGGACTCACAGAATTTTTTATTCAAAGAATGAAGAAATTAAAGAAAAATAATTTCCTTATTTCTACCATCATTCCCCACATTCTCTAGTTGTAATCTCATGCTGGTTAACTAAAATAATTTTTAAATAGTTTATTTATTATTTTTATTGTATGTGTATGAGTATATTGCCTACATGTATGTAAGTGCACCATGTTGTGCAACATCCCCAGAGGTCAGAAGAGGATATCAGATTCCCTGGAACTGGAGGTACAAACAGCTGTTATTGATGGTTATTAACTGCCAAGTGGGTGCTGGGAACCAAACCTGGGTGCTCTGCAAGAGCAGCCAGTACTCTTAACTGCTGAGTCATCTCTCTAGTCCACTAATTAATATGATTTTAAAGCCATATCTATAATTCAGAAATCACATATTTTCTCACAGGTATATAAAGATCATTTATCCATAGTGTCTAAACTAGTTTCACAAGCTCTCTACTAGCATATGTAATAAAGTTATGTATCTTACAATCATGTACCTACACAAAGTCCCTACAGATAAAAATCTACATTGTGTCTGAGTATAATTTACATAATAGTTCTGATAGATTTTTACTTCACTCAACTTTTTCTTAAATTTTAGTAATCTACAATATATCCAGAGATATCTGTGTGCATCACAGTACTAATCAAAGTAAATAAAAGATTCTCCAAATCTAAATATTTAGACTTTGGCCAGCAATCATGCAGTGGATGAGGACACTTGCCGCTGCCAAATTTGACAACTTGAGTTCAATTCCTGGAACAACATGGTAGAAAAAGAGAAACAAGTCCCTTGCAAGTTGTTCTCTAACCTCCATATGTGTGCATGAATGTACCTATACTCCCTACACACACACACACACACACACACACACACACACACACACAAACACACAAAATAAATAGAATGTAACTTTGAAATAAATATTTGCTCTTGATGCTCATGATGATGACACAAGCTGAGGCAAGAGGATCTTGAGTTCAAGATCTAACCTAGGCTATATGGCAAGCTTCAGGACAGCCTGGACCTTGTCCCAAAACACAAAGGGCTGGGGATGTAGCCCAGTGGTAGAGTGCATGCATAAAATCCCACATTCAATCCCAAGTACTGAAAAAAATTTAGTTACATAATTCTGAGTCAAAAATGTAAAAAAGATGTCAAGAAAAAGAGAGAATTTACCTTTGTAGGCCTCGTCTTCTGTTTGTATTACAGTAGAGAATGTTTATATCATCTGATTTCTGTAATTAAAACAAATCTATTACTCAGAAAACAGAAGCTGTGGACTGATATTACACTTACAGGAAAAGAGACTGGGAAACATTTACTTGTCCTTAGTTAGTGAATAGACTGACATAATTTACTTCATCTTTCCAATCATCTTGGGACAGACATTATCATCCTTATTTTACAGATAAAGTACCCAAAGCTTACAAAGTTAGACATTTTTCTGATCATTACAGTGCAAATCATGGACATAGTCATGATGTGAAATTAGTTCTGCCCGATTCAACTCCACCATCATTTTCTATGTTTTCTAAGGATGGAAACTAAGTACAGGAAAAACAAGGGCGACATAAAGGATATATACAAACAGCCTAATTATAAGAATATAACTAAGAGTTGAAGCAGAGTATGGTCAATGGGTACTGAAAGAGTTTAAAATATCCACCATCAATAGATGGAAGGTACTCATGGGAAAAAGGTAGGCAAAATACATGCTAAAGATTCAAAGTAATAAATGATATAAATTCAGCAGAGGAAAAAGCAAACAGCCTGGAGAGAAGGAGAGGAGACAAGGGGAGGGAAAAGGAAACAAAAGGGGAGCGGAGAAGAGAGGAGAGAAGAAGATAAACTGCATAATTAAGATTGGACCAAATTTGGAGCTAGAGAGATGGTTCAGCAGTCAAGGCACTAGCTGTACTTCCAGAGGACCAGGGTTCAGTTCCCAGCACATACTTGGTTGCCAGCAACTGACAACAACTCCAGTTCCAAGGGATCCAATGCCCTGTTCTGGCCTTTGCAGGTTTGCATGCTCATGGTACACTTACATACATGCAGGCAAAACACTCATACAAATAAAATTAAATAAATTTTTAATAAATAAATTTTAAATTTAATATTTATATTTAATTTATATTTATATTTAATATTTATTATTTATTTAATAAATAAATAAATTTTTTTTTAAAGATTGGACCCTTTTCCAGTGTCCAAGATGTCGAAGAAAGGACGTGGCAGGTCCTCTGGTGCAAAATTCCAGAGTCCCCTGGGTCTTCCAGTAGGAGCAGTGATCAACTGAGCTGACAACACAGGAGCCAAAAATTGTCTATCACCTCTGTGAAGGGAATGAAGGGACGGCTGAACAGACTTCCTGCTGTTGGTGTAGGTGACATGGTGATGGCCACAGTGAAGAAGGGCAAACCAGAGCTAAGAAAGAAGGTCTATCCAGCAGTGGTAATTCGATAACAAAAGTCATACTGGAGAAAAGATGGGATGTTTCTTTATTTTGAAGATAATGGAGGGGTCACAGTAAATAATAACAGTAAGATGAAAAGTTCTGCCATCACAGGTCCAGTTGCAAAGAAGTTTGTAGACTTGTGGCCCAGAACGGCATCCAATACAGGCAGCAACGCAAGATTCTCCAGTGTATTTGTAAAATATAATACCCGTTAAAAGTCTTTGCTCTGAGACAGAAAAAAAAAAAAAAAAAAGATTGAACAAATTTAAAAAGACCCTGAAAAAAAATTTTGGGAAGGGGCAAAAAACAAAAAATTTTTGGCAGGGGACAAATACGATAAAATTAATGTTTTTAAAAAAATTTTTGGCAGGGGACAAATACGATAAAATTAATGTTTTAAGAAGACTTTTTGGCAGGGGACAAATACGATAAAATTAATGTTTTAAGAAGACTGTGGGCTTGGCAGAGTTGCTGAGGTGTAGTGTGTGTGCTTAGTATATATAAGGCCTTGGGTTCAATCCATAGCACCCAAAGAAGATGACTGACATAAAAAACAATAAATTCAAACAGATTAATAATAATCAAGTGCTATGTAATACTTCAATCAATGACAGACTGTATATATGACAGTGACTCCATAAAATTATGATGAAACTAGAAAAGAGTATGTAATTGAAAACAAAAAGGCAAGAGAAAAGGAAACTGCAGGAAAACAAAATCAAGTCCCAAGAAAATGCTCTGTGAAAAAGCTTCTACAGACCTCAACTAGTTACTTAAAAGGTTTGAAAAATATAGTCCACAATACCAAAAGGTTTCCATTAATGGAGAGGAATGTTCATGCTGCATTGTCTGTTTACAATAAAATCTATGGTAACAAAACAAACCAAGAAAACCACTGATAAATTTCTGAGCAGAGTGACAACCCTCAGGCAAGTCTTTTAGGAGGTATGCCAAAAGAAGGAACTGATGTCATAGACGATGACAGTTCTGTGTGCCACTGAATAACTTCTAGTGGGACAAGACATGGATGTGGAAGACGGATGCTGACTGATCCTGACCCTTTGTAGGCATTGCTCAATATGGCTGTGTGTCTCTGTGTATATTTGTTTTACTTTTTAACAAAAGTTTAAAAGAAAAAAATAATTGCATAGAAAAAAAAACATAGATATAAAGAAAAATATTTTATATATTGATACAATGTGTGTTTTAAACTAAATGTTATTATAAAGGAGTCAAAAGGTGAAGCAATTGCTAAAGTTTATAAACCAAAACAGCTACATAAATGTTGATTTATTATTGAAGAAAAATGTTTTAAACAATTTTAGTGTAGCCTATGTATACAGCATTTATAAACTCCAAACTAGTAATAGTATTTTTATTGTCCAAGGTGTTCACATTCATGCACTATTCACTCACCTGGACCAAGTTCCATCTTATAATACAAGTACACCATTTTAATCTCCTTTAAAATTATTTTTATTTTTTATTTATGTGAATGTTTGAGTTCCTGTAGGTGTAAAATACTATGCAGGTGCCTGTTAAGGTCAGAAGAAGGGTCTAATCTACTTGCAACTAGAGTTAAAAGCAGTTGTTAGCTGCCTGATGGGTGCTGGGAACTGAATTCATGACCTCTGCAAAAGTAGCACATGCTCTTAGCCACTGCGCAATCCCTCTACATACACCCCATTTTAATCTTTATCCCATATTTTTACTGTTTCCCTCCTTCCCTCCCTTCCGAAACAGGATCTTATTCTATAACCCAGACTGAATTGTATGTACTTATATAGCCCAGGCTATTCTCAGGCTTGCAGCACTCTTCCTGCCTCAGCCTCCTGAGTGCTAGGGTTACAGCTGTGAGCCACCATGCCCAGCTTTACTGTCCTTTCCCCTATTTAGCTATGCCTAGCTACACAAATAGCTGTGACACATGTGTTGCAACTGTCTACAGGAGCATGATTAAAAGCAATAGGCTATACCATACAGTATAGGTGTGTTGTGGTCTACACCCTCCAGGTTTATGTAAATACACTAAGATATTGGCATACACAGACACACAGACACAATCACGTAACAATGCATTTCTCAGAATATATCATGAAGTTACATATCACTGGGCTAAAGAGATGGCTTGGATGCTGGGTGGTGCATGCCTTTAATTCCAGCACTTGGGAGGGAGAGGCAGGCAGATCTCTGTGAGTTCGAGGCCAGCCTGCTCTACATATTAAGTTCCAGGCCATGTGGGACTACAGGGAGACCCTGTCTCAAAAAGAAAAAAAAAAAAAAGAGAGATGGCTTGGTGGTAAAGTGCTTGATACATAAGCATTAGGACCTCAATTCAGATCCCTAGAAAATTATAGTACTATGGAGGTGGAGACAGGTGGATCACAGTTGCTCACTGGCTAGCCCACCTGGCCCAGTTGGTAAACTTTGGGTTTAGTCAGGGGCTCTGTATCAAACACTAAGATGAGAGTGATTGAGGAAGACACCAAATGTTGGCCTCTGGTTTCCACACTCACACACATGTGCATATACTACAAAACACATATATAAACATATAGTTATACATCTCTGTACATAAAAACAACTACTTTTTTTTGTGGACCAGGTCTTACTATGTATATCAGGCTAGCCTAGAACTCACAGAGATCTACCTGCCTCTGCCTCAAGTGCTGGGATTAAAGGCATGTATGTCTATGTCCAACTAAATTAATTCTTAAAAACAGCTCAGAGGTTAAGAACACTGGTTGTTCTTGCAGAAGACCCAGGTTCGAATCCCAGCACCCACATGGCAGCTAACAGCTGTTTGTAACTCCAGTCCCAGGGGATCCGAGAGCCTCTTATGACCTCCACACGCATTGCACAACATGAGTGCACTTACCTACATGCAGGCAACACACACATACACATAAAATAAAAAAATAGATAAAATTAAAAAAAAAAAACAGAATTCTACATTCTTTGAACTTTCACTACTTTCTCCTTTAGTCACCACTTAACTTCAACTTCAGAGTGGTAAGTACTTAATGAGGCACCCTTAAATTACTTTAATGTATTTAATTAGGTGTCAGAGCTTCTAATTAATGATTAGTGAAAGAACTTTGGATTTAGCACTATTGCTGTACATAATTTTATAATAAATTATTTGACTTTATGGATCATAATTTCTTTTTTTAAATCTCAATTTCTGAATCTGAAAATGCAAGCAATATATCTATTTTAATTACTTCAAAGGCGAATGTGAGCCAGGCTGGTGGTACATGCCAATAACCCTGCACTCAAAAGGCAGGAAGACTGTAGTTCCAAGTTTCCAGTCAGCCTGAGCTATGAGCTATACAGCAAGACCAAAAAAAGAGTAATTGCAAAGTATAACAGTTTACATGAAAGACTGAAAAACTGTCTAAATTTTCTTCCATGTTGCCTAACCCCACATAGTACAGTCTACCAACACAAGAAATAAAAACCTGATAAATGCCTTTTAGCAAATGGAAGGAAAAAACAAAAACTAGTTTTCTATTGGCTATCAAAAAGCAACCATAATGGAAAAAAATACAGAAAAATAAGAAATTTTATATTATAAACTCTCTAACTGTACATTAAAACTTTACTATATCGGGGTTCAGTGGGTGGTACAGGCCTATAGCCCCAGCTCCTTAGAAGACTGAAACAAAAGATTCACTTTATCCCAAGAGTTCAAAAGGCCAGTCTCAATAATATAGTGAGATCCAGTCTCTTAAAAATTAAATTAAAAGCCAGGTATAGTGGCCAAAGCCTTTAATTCCAGTACTTGGTAGACAGAAGCAGGTGGGGTCTTTGTGAGATCAAGGCTGGCCTGGTCCACATAGCAAGTTCCAGGCCAGCTAGGACTACAGGGGGACCTTGTATCCAACAACAAGAAAAATTAACTAAAAACTTTAAGAAATTTTTATGGTATCTAAATACTCACCAGTTTTCTCTTCTCAGTTGAAACTGATTTAACAGAGTAGGCTGAACTAAGAGAACTTGCTGAGGTTTTTCTCTCATTCTTGTCCTAAGGATACCATTCAAGAGAAAAAAAGAACAGAACAGCACCAAATTAAGCATAATATAAAAGAACATGATTTCATCATTATAAACTGACATTCTCATCCAAAAATGAACTCTAAGAACAACATCTAAAGACATAAACTTTGGTAAGGAGTCTCAGTGGGGTATGGTGGTACAATCCTTTAATCCAATCACTTAGGAAGCAGAGCTCTCTGTGAGATTGAGGCCAGCCTGGTCTATATAGCAAATTCCAAGCCAGCTGGGGCTACAGGGAAATCCTGTTTCAACCTCCTCCAAAATAAAAAATTTTTAAAAAAGGGAATCTCAATGAGAAGGAAGACTCAAGGAGAAATTAGAAGTCCTGGGTGCTTATAAATTAGGGATGAGATGAATACAGCTTAGATAAGAACACTGTGAGACAGCATTGCCATGGTGAAATTCTGTCTGCAAAGGGAAACCATATGCCCCATTGCTTTTTAGTAGATCATGAACTCAAAATGCTGAGGACAAACTTGTTTCAAGTATCTATTATGTACTAAAGATATACCAGACTGTGGGCAGAGACTAACAAAAAACTACAAACATCCCTGCCTCCATAAAGGTTAAGATCTAGTGCAGGAATTTACACATAAACAACAAATGTGTTTAGAATGCCCTATGGTGCTACAGAATGAAATAAAACAGAGGAGCAAAAAAGGTAGAGAGCTAGAAGTACAAGATGTGCAATTTTTAAACATATTGATAAAAGACTCCATTGATAAGCTGACATCTGAATGGAGACCTAAAGAAACAGAGACTTGAAGATATAGCTCAACTGGTAATTACTTTTCTAACATGATCCCAGCACCAAATATACTACGCATACTGGTGTGCATTTGTAATCCCAAAACTCAAGACAAAACCAAGCACGGTGGGGCACACCTTTAATGCCAGCACTCAGGAGGCAGAGACTGGTGGGAGGCAGATGCAGGCAGATCTCTGTGAGATCAACCTGGCCTATATAACAAGTTCCAGGGCAGCTAGGACTACAAGGAGGCTGTCTCAAAAAAAAAAAAAAAAAAGGGGGAGACAGGGTGATCAGATGCAGATGTTCAAAGTCATTCTTTTCTTTTTTTTTTTTTTCTGGTCCTTTTGAGACAGGGTCTCCCTGTAGCCCCAGCTGTCCTAGAATTCACTATGTAGACCAGGCTGGCCTTGAACTCACAGAGATCCACCTGCCTCTGCCTCCCGAGTGCTGGGATTAAAGGTGTGCACCACCACGCCCGGCTGTCAAAGTCATTAACTACATAAGGAGTTTGAGGCCAGCCTAGAACACAAGAGACTAACCCCCTATCTAAAAGAAAAAGAAAAAGAAACAAACCAAACCATATATGTAATTTTTAAAAATATTTATTATTTTTATTTTATGTGTATGAGTGCATTGTCTGCATGTATGTGAGTGCACCTGTGTCGTGCAATGCCGCAGAGGTCAGAAGAGGGCTTCGGACTCCCCTGGAACTGGAGTTAAGGATTGTTCGTAGTCACCATGAGGGTGCTGGGAATCAAACCCGGGTCCTCTGCAAGAGCAATCAGTGTTCTTAATCACTGAGCCATCAACCCCCTACATATGTAATTTTTAATGTAATAGGTAATAACTGACAAGAGCAAAACTCCACAGACAGGAATGTACCTAGATTGCTGGAACAAAGAAGCCTTGAAGTACAGAGTGGTGGTAAGATAAAATGGGAAAAGTAAGTTGGCAGCTCAACAAGGGGCTTTCAACAGGGAATACCACTAAAAGTACAGAGCAGAGGAGTGACAGAATCTGACTTACATTGCTATGGACCACAATATTTGCTATGTTAAGAATAAACCATGATGCTGGGCATGGTGGCACACTCCTTTAATCCTACTACTTGGGAGACAGACACAAGTGGATCTCTGTGAGGATACATAGTAAGACCCCATCTCAAAAAAAAAAAAAAAAATCATGAGGAGGCAAAGGCAGAGACAAAGGGGAAAACAATTAGAAACCAGTGAAATAACTAAGGAAAAAAAAAGTTTAAATCATGGTTACAGCAATAGAGGAGTAAGTCTGGCTTTGAATATATTATAGAGAAAGCTAATAGAAATCGCTTGTACACTGGTTGCAGTGCACAGTAACTTACCAGGTTTTGACCTAAACAATCTTTTTTTTTTTTTTTTTTTTTCCGGTCTTTTTGAGACAGGGTCTCCCTATAGCCAGGGCTTGATTCACTAGGGAAACCAGGCTGGCCTCAAACTCACAGAGATCTGCCTCCCAGGTGCTGGGATTAAAGGAATGTGCCACCACACCCGGTTTGATCTCAACTTAAACAATAGAAAAGAGGGGGCTGGAGAGATGGCTCAGCAGTTAAGAACACTGACTGTTCTTGCAGAAGAGCCGGGTTGGAGTTCCAGCACCCACATGGCAGCTAGCAACTGTCTGTAACTCCAGTTCCAGGGGATCCGACAGTCTCTTCTGTCCTCTGCGGGCATGACACGGGCGCACTTACCTACATGCAGGCAATACATGCATACACATAAAAAATAAATAAAAAAATAAAAAAAGAATGGAAAAGAAATTTACTAAATTAGGAAACTGAGTTTCAGTACCCGAAAGGTTATAGTTCAAGAAAATGGGGAGGAGATTCATGTAGTGATACATGCCTGTAACCTCAGCACGTGGGAAATTAAGACAGGAGGATGATGAGTTTTAGGCCAGACTATACTACATAACAAGACCCAGTCAGTCTAGAAAACCTCATTTCAAGAAAAAATATGGGGAAAAGCCAGCAAAGAAACCTGAGATGCTGAGAAGCAGTCACCAGTGACAAGGAAAATTAGTATCACAAGAGTTAACTAATGGGGTTAGCAACATGGAAAGCACCTGTAGTCTTGAAGAGAGCCATCTCAAGGCGTAATGACAAGACACACTCAATTTCTTTTCTTTTCTTTTTTTTTTTTCCATCTTTTGAGACAGCTGGCCTGGAACTCCCTCTGTAGACCAGGCTGGCCTTGAACTCACAGAGATCTACCTGCCTCTGCCTCCCAAATCCTGGGATTAAAAAAGGCAAGAGCCATGAATTGCTCATCTGTGATTAGGATAATAAAAGTAACTAACTACTAACTACCTCGTAAAATTATAATGGCTTCTCCTAGGTTAGATGGGCAGAAGAAATAATTAGCATCTTGGGGGCTCAGCAGATCAGACCACTAGCTGCTCATGCTGAGGACCAAGGTTGGGTCCCCAGCACCCACTTGGCAGCTAACAACCATCTGTAACTCCAGTTCCATGGGATCCAATGTCCTGACCTCTGGGGCATCACAGCATGACATGGGTGCACTCACATACATGCAGGCAATACACTCGTACACATAAGAAAAAAATAAATAATTTTAAAAAGAAAAAAAATTTACATCTCACTGTAAAAGTGAGGTTCATTTTTTATTACATGAAAATAAATTGTAAAAAAAGATTTCTTACTTCATCAAAAGTAGCTGAAGAGGTGGCCCTTTTTTCTTGAGACTTTTCTTCTTTTCCACAAGATTCCTTGATAGACATCATGAGAAACTAAAATAAACATTCAAAATAGATTTTATCACAATAAAAAGTATACCACAAATTATTCTTTTAATTACACAAAGATTGGAGTTTTACAGCATGATTTTCATTTTCTAGTCATTCTCAAGTTTCTCTAATTATTCCACTTTCCATTATTTACATTTTCCTTCCTAACAATTTATTCCTCTCCTTTAGCTTAATCAACTTCTCAGGAATGATCTCAAAACAATGCCTCGAGTCCCTACTTTCTTCCTTAAACATGAGATCAGTCTTTCCAGTTGCCTACAAGACTGCTTATTTTGTTCTACCTATACCTCTAAACTGATTAGTGAGAATTTTTCATTTTATTCAACATGCTGTTACTCACTGTGTGATACTTCAGACAAACTGCATACATGTTTCTAAGCCCTACTTTCATCCTATATAAAATAGAGACCACTCATCCTAGAACATTCTGATGGAGTGAAAGAGCACAGTGAATATAAAAAACATATTTTGAGGCTGGCGAAATGGCTCAACAAATAAAAGTGCTTCCTGTACAAGTCTGACAACCTGTGTTTGATCGCCTGATCCCATGGAAAAAGGAAAGAACCGACAACTCCTGAAAGTTGTTGTCCTTTGACCTCCATATGCCCATGTGAGAGACCTGAGTGACTCCATCTTGGATAAAATCTCCATAGGACTGACCCAGCCTTGGGCCCTGTTCCAAGAAAAACCACAATACTTGGAATGGATAAAGAACAACTCCCCCACCAATAGTCAATTAACCAGGGACAAGAAAGTACTAAAAGTCCAGATATCTTTTCAGATTTCCTGACGCCAACAGTTTATGGTTTGGCACTGAGCTGCAACTAATCAGACACTTGCCAGGCTGAAGATCCCCTACTCCCCTATTTGCTGAACTTACTGAAATAAACCTATAAAAACCTCTGTCTCCCAAAGCAAGGGGTGTCACATCTGAGATCCGCTGAGTCGGTGACAGAGTGGACCCAAGCTTAAGCTTGCAACAATAAAAGAACCGTTGTGTGTTTGCATTGGTTGGCTCCTTGATGGTCTTTGGGGTCTTGCGAACTGGGCACATCTTGGGGGCTCCTCCGAGATTCCCAAGACCCCCAGGACCCCCAAACTGGAGGGTTCTTGGCCAGCTGGTAAGTGTCTGTTTGTTTCTAGTTGTACCTGTCTGTGTCTGTCCTAGCTTTTGTTCTGAGCCTCAAGGCAAACTTGTGAACAGTGTGGTCAGGAGCGGTTGGAGCAGACGCACTAGGTGACCGTGACGACAGAGGTCTGGAAGATGCTCCAGACCTCAGCAGAGGGGACAGAGGGCCCCAGACTCTGTTGATTTCTGTGCAAGGACAAGGTGAGTCACTCGCATGTCATGGCAGTTTGCTGCTGTCCTACTTTCAGTTTTTCTTCCACATGAGTGGGGGAATTTGATACTTGGCCTTCTGTGTGTCTTTCTGGCTCTGTTTTGTCTTTGGTTGTCTCTGTTTTGTCTTTGGTTGTCTATCTGTGAGTGAGACAGACACAATGGGACAGACACCCTCTACACCCCTGGACCTGGTTCTTGCACATTTTGGAGAGGTTAAGCCCCTAACTTCTCTGTTGTTGTCAGGAAGGATAAATTAATTACTTCCTGCAGGTCTGAATGGCCCACTTTCAACGTGGGATGGCCCTCGGAGGGGACCTTTGATCCCGCTATATTAACGCGGTTGAGAAAATTATTCTTCAGCCATGTATGGGACACTTGGATCAAATATCATACATAATTGTCTGGGGAGATTTAGTTAATAACTCCCCTCCTTGGGTCAAGTCTTTTCTTCCTTTACAGAAAACTGAGATGCTAATGGCTGCAGAACGGAAAATAACAACCCAGAAAGCACCTAAGCCTGAAACAAAACCATCAGCACTGTCACTGTACCCTGTCTTACAGGGTAGCACAGAAAAAAATCTAATTTTTCCTCCCCCTCCTTATCCACCTCCTCCACAGGAGGTACCCCCTCCAGAACCGGCACCCCTGGTACCAGATTCTTCACAGGTACAGGGGAACCGGATCAGGGGACTAGGAGTAGAAGGGCAGCAACACCGGGGGGTCCAGACTCTACTGCTCTACCCTTCAGAGTTGCCGGCCCCACAGATGAGGATGGCAACCAGCCCCATCGCTATTGGCCATTCGCCACTAGTGACCTTTACAACTGGAAAACCCAGAATGCTCCCTTTTCTGAAAATCCTAAGGAGCTTATTAATTTATTAGAAACTGTCTTATTCACACACCAACCCACTTGGGATGATTGTCATCAATTATTACAGGTCCTGTTTACCACAGAGGAAAGGGAACGTATCCAAACAGAAGCCAGGAAGTTAATTCCTGGGAGATTATTGGACTCAGGGGTTTTAAGGCCCTGGCAATCAGCATGGAAACCCCCCCTGCTGCCAGTAAGGAAGCCCCATTCCAATTGTTATAGGCCGGTGCAGGATCTACAGGAAGTGAACAAACGGGTGATGGATATTCACCCTACAGTGCCTAATCCTTATACTTTATTAAGTGCACTCCTGCCAGAACATGGTTCTGGAGTTAAGAGATGCCTTCTTTAGCCTTCCCTTAGCCCCGAAGAGTCAAGACTATTTTTCCTTTGAATGGTATGACCTGGACAAAGGACTTAACTGGCAACGTGGACTAGGCTTCCCAAAAGGTTCGAAAACTCACTGACCATTTTTGATGAGGCATTACATGAGGATCTGGGTATCGGGCTCAGCATCCCCACCTCAGTCTCTTGCAGTATGTGGATGACTTACTTGTGGAGGCAGACAGCCAAGAGTCTTGCGTGGACGGCACAGAATGCCTGTTGCAGACGTTGGGAAGCCTGGGCTATCAGGCCTCTGCTAAAAAGGCCCAACTATGCAAACAACAGGTCCAATACTTGGGCTGTATACTCAAAGAAGCACTACTGGTAAAAGATGCTGACAAACTGACTTTGGGCCAGAACTTGACCATCACCACACCACATGCAATTGAAGGAGTTTTAAAGCAGCCCCCGGACAGATGGCTAAGTAACGCCCATATAACTCATTATCAGGCATTACTTCTTAATCCTGCTAGAATCACCTTCCAGGTACCAGTTGCCCTGAATCCAGCCATGCTCTTGCCGGACCCAGACTTGGATGCCCGCCTGCATGATTGTGCCGGGATCCTGGCCCATGTCCATGGTACCTGATCAGATTTGAGCGATACCCCATTATCTGATGCTGAAGTAACCTGGTTCAATGATGGGAGCAGTTTTGTCCAGGATGGCAAGAGGTATGCAGGGGCGGCTGTAGTATCATTAACTGCCATCATTTGGGCAGAGCCTCTGCACACTGGCACTTTGGCCCAAAAGACTGAACTTATTGCCCTAACTAAGGTGCTGGTATTGGGAAAGGACAAAAAGCTTAATGTGTATACGGACAGCCGATATGCCTTTGCCACTGCACATGTTCATGGGGCAATATATCGGGAACGAGGCTTATTAACTGCAGAGGGAAAGACTGTCAAAAATAAAGAAGAAATCCTACCATTGCTGAAGGCTCTTTTGCTGCCAAAGAAATTGGCAATTATCCACTGCCCAGGTCATCAAAAAGGGGACGATCCAACTTCCCAAGGAAAAAATCAAGCGGATCAGGCGGCTAAACAGGCTGCCCTCCAAACTGACTCAATCTTGGTCACCACACTAATTGACCCAGGTGACCCAAACCTCCCTGGAAAGCCCAAATACACCGGGGAGGACCTGAAATGGATAAAGGGACTGCTGAGGACCCAATGCCTGGAGGGATGGTAGAGGTCAGCAGAAGGGAAGCTGATCCTCCCGGAAAAATTAGGAAAACAAATGTTGGCAAAAATACACCGTTCTTCCTACATGGGCATCAAGAGGATGCAGGACATAATTTGACATGCCGAAGTAAAAATCAAGTATGCCAATTTAAAGATTAAAGACATTGTCAATGGCTGTAAAGCTTGCCAACTCACTAATGTGGTGCCAAATACTAGAAACCCAGGAATCAGACTTCGAAAGAGAGAACCTGGAGCCTATTGGGAAACAGATTCACTGAGGTAAAACATGGCAGGTATGGATACCGTTATTTGCTAATCTTTGTAGATACTTTTTCAGGATGGACTGAAGCCTTCCCTACTAAATATAAAATGGCTCAAATGGTGGCAAAGAAACTGTTGGAAGACATCTTCCCCAGGTATGGCTTTCCACAGATAATAGGGTCAGATAATGGACTGGTTTTTGTGTTCAAAGTAAGTCAGAGTCTGGCCACAGTTCTGGGGATTGACTGGAAACTACATTGTGCTATAGACCCCAGAGTTCAGGACAGGCAGAGAGAATGAATAGAACTCTGAAAGAGACCTTAAATTGACCTTAGAGACTGGCTGGGACTGAGTGACTCTCCTTCCGTTCGAGTAACTTCCCTTACCAGATGGGATTAACCCCCTTTGAGATCATGTTTGGAATGCTCCCTCCCATTATTCCTAACCTCCAGGCAGAAAAGATTACTGAACTTAAAGATAGGGACCTGTTGAATGACCTCAGGAGAGTCCAATGGTCCCATAAACATGTATATACTAAACTACGTGCTCTTTACGAGACAGGACCCACTCCAGAACCTCATCAATATCGACCCGGTGACTGGGTCTATGTTAAGAGGCATCAGCAAAGATCCTTAGAGCCACAGTGGAAGGGTCCCTATGTCATCCTACTGACCACCCCCAGAGCCTCAAAGTGGATGGTGTACCATCGTGGATCCACCACACGCATGTATGGCTAGCTGACCCATTCGCCGTAGAGGACTGCACATCCCCAGCTTCAGGATGGAGAGTTTCAAAGGACCCCAACAATCTGCTCAAGCTAAAGCTCACCCAATTTTCAAACTGTTGACTGTATATACTCTGTTCCCCATGATAGCCGCTCCTGCTCCAGGAAGCCCGCACTAACCTATGAATCTGACTTGGGTCCTCCAAGATGTGATAGGAG